TCCCCACTTCATATCATCAGCAAACTTGCTCAAGGTGCATTTGATCCTTTTGTCCAGGTCATTTATAAAGAAGCTGATTAAGACTGCACTCAGTATTGATTCCTGGGGAATGCCACTGCCTACAGGCCTCCAACTAGCTTCTGCTCCACTGATCATGACCCTCTGAGCTCTGCCATTCAGCCAGTTCTTGATGCACATCACTGTCCATTCATCTAACTCACATTTCCTGAGCCTACCTATGAGGATGTTATGGGAAACAGTGTCAAAATCCTGAAGTCAATGTAGACAGCATCCACTGCTCTCCCCTTGTCGACTTATTCTGCCTTGCCATCACAGAGGGCTGTCAGATTGGTCAAGCATGATTTTTCCCTTGCAGAATCCATGATGACTACTCCTGATGGCTTTCTTTTCTTGTATATGCTTAATGATGACCTCCAGAATGATCTATCTGTTTCATCACCCTTCCAGGGATGGAGGTGAGGCGGGCTGGCTGGTAGTTTCCTGGGTCCTCCTTGCAGTTTTTGAAGATGAGAGTAACATTGGCTTTCCTCTAGTCATCAGGCACCTTTCCTGTTCTCCATGCTATTTCATAGATGATGGAGAGTGGCCTAGCAACAATCTGCCAGCTCCCTCAGGACCTGTGTGTGCATCCCATCAGGACCTATGGATGGGTAATAAGCCTGCCTAGCTGATCTCTAACCCAAACATCTGTGACCAAGGGGAAGTCTTCCTTTCTCCAGCCTTCCTCTCATATAGTTCTTTCTTCCATTTCAGATTTTCTAGAAGCACCCTGCTCATACTTGCAGGTCTCCTGCTGCCTTTGTTTGATTTCCTGATCACAGGGATATACTGGTCTTGAGGTTAGAGGAAGTGATTCTTGAATACTGACCAGTTCTCTTGGACTGCCTTCTCTTCTAGAGCCCTAGACTATGGGATTCCACTACTTAGGTCCTACTGTTTAGGACTACATATGCCTGAAAACAGTACATTATTTCAATGCTGTAAAAATAAAGAAACAAAGCCTATGGTGTTCTGGCCTTATGAGGGTACTGATGTAGAGGATAGTGTTTAAGCAATGTAACCAAAGTAGCAGAGTTATCCATATTACAGGCAGAATACCTTCTTAAAGGGTAATAAGAGAGGAAAACTGGCATCTGCCTCTCTTCCAGGAAGATGATTGAGGTCACTAAAGGACAAAACTTTCTTTTTTCCACATTCTTCTTTAAACCAAAAATCATATTAATATTTGTTTTTATAGATTGACAGTCTTTCTTGAAGTCATTCTTCTTCTTCTTGTATGTCTGCTTGCAGATCTGTAATTATTTTAGATTTATTTCTCAAAATAAACAGCATTATCTCTTTTAAAAATAGTTAACTCATGGTACAAATATCCTTATTGTGTTAATTCAATGATAGGCCTATGCAGAAGAAGAAAAAGAATTCAGAATCTGCGTAGAATAAACAGCAGGTATATTATGCTTAAATATAAGTACATTTCTGCTATGGTAAACACTACAGTTTTATCACTAGAAAGAAAAACATTTTTGTGAGATTATGAAATGAAGAAATACATATTCACCAAAGTATATTTTGGTTTTGTATTAACACACATAACTGTTAAACGTAACAATATATATAGTGTTTTGAATACAAGAATTACAGTAGCACCAGTCTTGTGATGTAAATAATGTAGAATCACAGTATTCACTGAATTTTATGTATAATTCTCTCAGTTGTTTTTAGGATTTGAGTGAATAAACACTTGAAGGCATTCAATAAGTTTCAGTGTGTACAAAAAAGACCTGGAAAACTTTTCTGATATTTTTCAGATTAAAATCTGTGATGTTTTAGAATATTTTGGTCTGGAAGATGTGCCTTTGTGACCAGTTGCCTATCCCTTTTTTCCATAACAATTATCTTTGGATCAACTAATTCTCTGTCAAATTTGTTTGAAATTGGTCAACATCCTCAAAGATATTTCGCAGGGAGTGAAGGTGATTAAAAGTGACCAGCACACAAAGAGCTCACATTGCACATCCCTCTATAGAACTCTAGTCTAACTGGTGGGTTCTTGTCATAGAACTGTAGCATCTTGGTTCTGTTGCTCTTAAAAGGTATATGGATAGTTTTGGTGAAATAAGTCCTTTGTTTATCCAGAAAGTGGGTATCCATAGGTGAACACCAGAATTCACATGCTCCTTATTCTTACTTTCAGCCTTTTGAAATTCTCCTGATGATGCTGATCCTCTAAATACTGCTTTCTCCCTGAGTTTACTCAGAGTCTAATTCAAAAGTATCAAAGACTGGAAAAATCCCCAAAGCTCCTCAGACTTTTTGGCCCATCCTTTACTAAACTTCTTAGAAGCAATAATTTCCCTATGTCAAATAAAAAAAAATTGTCTGTGCTTTCCCTGAATTGAGTATGTTGTACTCTTTGAACTCCAGCAATCTAATAATAAAAATAAAAAATGTAAAAATCCGTGGAAAAAAATAGTTCTTTTTTAAAGACAGAAAAAATAAAATTTATGAACAAAGGTTTGGACCAGTTGATAGTGTTGAAAAACAATTCAGTAGCTTTTCATGGCAGAAATATACTTGCACTGCAATACAGGAATTTTAGTTTCATTAGTGTATTGGATATAATTAAATCAGTAAACACACACAGTTTGCATAAATGAAATCCTCATGGTCTGCAACCGCTTTAAGGTAGTTCAAATGAAATACAGAAAATGGAAATCTCCTCTCTTCTCACAAGAGCAAACCTGAGGTGGCTGTTGTCTCAGATGGCATGAGTCATTTATTAGTTACTGATGAAGTAACAAGCACCTTTGTCAAAATTCCCTCTCCCCTGATATGATTCATTTATTAAATAATTAAGAGAGGTGTTCAAATAATCTCAACAGGCTTTATCAAGATAGCACCAATAAACTCTACAGCTTTTATTAAAAGAAGGTCCTAAAGAAATAAAGGTTTATGTTGGTGTCTAACCAGGCTCTGTTAGCTGATTTTCCCTGGAATTCCAGAACCCAACACCAAGACATCCCAAGTGTGCTTTTTCAGATGCTAATTTTTCTTCTGTAATGAAACCCATCAAAAATAAAATCAGGTCAAGATAAGTACTCAGGAGTACTTAGTTTGGAGACAATTAGCCCATCTATGTTGATCTAGAAAACTCCTTATACAAAAGAGTTAGCAAAGTGACTAAGTGTCTAAGAAGCTTGTCATAAAGATTACCATGACAAAAAACAAGCCTGTATCTGTTGATACCGACAATAAGGGTGAGAAGGTTCTGTCCACAGTACTTTTTCTCTGCTTTTGTAATGCACTCCTGCTTATTGGCAACAGTCCTTTCAGAAATGTTCTTTCCTATATCCAAAGACTATCCAGCTACTCACATGCATATTGATTTAACTTGTCACAGGGAAAGAAGAAGGATGAATAACCCATGCACGCCAGAGGCAAGGAGGGATATATAACCCCTGAAACAGAGTCCCTCAGCCCACTGAGGAGGGGTGATTCTGCTGCATCTGTCCCTCACAGGACTGAGAAATTGCTGTGAGGAACGCCAGGAGGTTTTGCACCTCTGGTGCAGAATTGATCCAGAGGCTGGCTGAATAGACGAGCTGATGGGGGACAAGGGGGGAACAACTGGTGGCAGCAGGCAGGCAGATGGGAGGGATGAGAGTTCATAGGTACAGGGCAAATTCACCCTTCTCAGTGCTGCACCAACTGTCACACACTGGGCAAAGGGTCAGTTTGAGAGGACCTTTAATTTAATTTATTTTTTAGGAAGCTTATGACTGGTTTTAGGGGGTTTTTTTTGTAATTTTAAGGCTGGCAGTAAGAAGGTCCCAAAGCAAGCTTTTGACAGGCCAAATATAAATTTCCTATAGTGTTACAAAGTGGTTATATCCAACTACATATGTCTAAAATAAGTTCACATTTTATGGCCAGCTGGGATTTTTTTCCTATTAGTTGCTGATTTTTAAGCCTTTCTCAGAACTAAATCTGGATTTTTAATTATTATTTTTAAAAACCTCAAATCCCTAATAAGGACTTAGAATAATGCTTTTCAAAAGCCATAGCTGCTTTAGTACAAAATATGTCTCACAATTACATTGGTTTATACACACATATAAATCCTATTGATATTAATGTATCACTGAATATTCCAAAATAATATTCTAGGATTAAACTTTAATTAAAAAAAAAATCATCATTTGATATAACATTAGAGATGCCCCATTATTTAATCATACTAAAATTATAGCACCATCCTGCAATTCCAAAAAGTAAAGAATGATTTTTGTTAGGAGTGTGAAACCATGTGCAACTCTGTGTAAGCAGATCCATTAGGATCTGAATCTGGCCTTGGGAGGTAGAAAAAGAAATACAAAACTTTGCTTCTGTTGGTACTGTGTGATTAAATCCTGCCTTGGGTACTTTTGTAAGATGCTGCACTAGACATCGACCAAAGAAGCCTCAGTGTACTTACATGAATGATGTCTCTCCCTTTATCACCCAAAAGGACCTGGTTTTAGCCAAAAGTCTGCCCTCATTTTCACCCCCAGCAGTCTTCCTCTTTTTGTAACTGCAGGGTAAAACTGTAGTTTTAAACAGATTAAAGCAATAGCCAATTCACAACCCCTCCTCAAGAGCAAAGCAAAACAACTGATACGCTACTTTCTTTAAACAAACAAAGAAAAGGTACTTCTACACAGAAATGTGATGAAAGCCTTGAGACCCAGCTCTTTGGTGTAAAAATAGGTACGAGTAAGTGACGGATCGGTGTCTTTGGGGAGAGTTCAAAACGTTTACCTGGACTTAATCTTTACAACTGACCTCTATACCTTGGTAAAGACCAGTGCATTTGCACCTCTACAGCATATAAAATAAACCTTGCTGATAATGAGGACAGTTTTGTAACTGCACCCACGTTTGCAGATAACATACTGAAACACCATGGATGTCATCATGCTTTGACAGGCATCCTCCTTTCCTTACAACTTTCTTGAACATATGTAGCTGTTCGGTTTGACCTTCTTGCAGTCAGTTGCTTGCCATTTTCCTCTCTTCTGCACAAATGCACAATTTCTTCCTCTCACTGGAAAGTGATAGGAGTCTCTTCTCCAGTTTATGTAGGTTACAGGTTCTCCTCCAGTCCACTCCCAATGTCCAGGATTGACTTGGTCATTCAAGCCTGTATGAAATTAGTAATACCATATCAGTGATGTTGATTGTCTCTGGAGACTGAGATCAAGAGAAGAGGTTCCATACCTTTGTTTAAAAATGCATAAAATTTACTGATGAGAGAAAAAAGAAATTGGGTAGAACACAAGTAAAATACAATTTAGTATTTAGTAAGGCCACCTGAATCTCAATTGATGCCATCCGAATATGAGAAAAAATGCTTTTCTGCAGTAGTGCCTATCTAAAATGGTTTTTTCTCTTTCCATCTATCACACATCTTACCATCTCACAGGTTTCTCTTTTGATACTTGAGATACCAAGCAGAATATTGTATGCTAGTCTGGGCAGCCTTAGATGCCTTCAGATTTCTTCTGAATATGAAATCATGCAGACTTTTGTAGACCTTGTTTATACTGCTGCAAAGTTAGGTTGTGTTAATTAATATACCCTAAAACACATCTTTTCACTTAGTTTCTGAGTTAGTGGGACCAGTATGGGTGGCATATTTTCAGACACACTTTCAGTCTTCTTGGCTAGGGGAGACCAAGAACAGAAAACTGACATAACATTCTTGCAGCCTTTGTCCTTGTCAGCAGAGTTTATTTCTTTCAGGTTAACAGAATCATGATACCGTTAAACATGATCCCAAACTAACTGTGTTTTTTAAAGTTAATTTAGTATATCCAGTAAACTCATCTCAGAAAATTACTAAGAGCTGATAATTGCAGTTCAGATTTGGAAAAAAGAACCAAAACTGAGGACAGCATAGCAGAAACAAGAAGGGTTAGAAGAAAGTGATAGCACTAGTCAATGAGCTTAGGCAGTGCTTCACAGAAAGGGATAGGAGGTACAAAGAACATCAGTCTGAATTTTTTCCATTTCTCATTAAGTGTAATGTGCATAATAAGAAATAGCTAAATCTACAATGATATGATGAAATTTTTTTTAGCTGATTATCTAATTAATTCACAAGGTTTCTGATGCAAGACGACACCATTATATTACTAGTAACACATAATTATTTAAAGTCAAGTTAAAAGAAAACAGAAAAAAGCAAAATTAGAGATAAATAAAGTAACAGTCAAGTGAAAGGTGAGATAAACAAGTGTAGGAGCTGCACCAGAACTTTATTGCATCAGCTTGTGATATAATGGGAAAGATTTCAAGACAAAAACAGTCCAGCAATATGCAACATGATACAGTCTTCTTTTTCATAAAGACTTATAAAATTAACCAGGTAAATTATGGCTTTCAGTTTCTGTCTTGCTCTGAAATAATAAAAGCAGCAGAAAGTTGAGGACAATGCAACAGCTGAAAACTGGGCTGGAACTGCTCTGGCACTTTCTGCTTTTCAAGCTGCACAGGAATTGTAATCCTCACAGGGGACAAGCAGACAATGTACTTGCCTATCCAAAAGGGCATCCTCCCACTGAAGTCCCACAGCCACTGCATGTGTTGTTCATTAGCCACACTTGCTAGACTCCCCAGGTATCTAGGCTCAAGGAGAGAGGACAGTAATTAGCATTCCACAGAGTGACAGACAGCTCCCATCAACTTATCAACAAGGGGTGCTGATTCTAGTATAAAGCACAGAAATAACATGTCACAGGAAAAACACTACTTACTGGCATGAAAGAATAATTACACAAAGATAAAGTCTTGAAATTGTGGTTTACTTGGAGAGGAACCAAGGTCCCAGTCTGATTTTTCTAAGCGAAAAATTAAGGCAGCTGGGCAACTGGAAGAAAGATACACAGAAAATGTTTGCTTGACACTCACAAACTATGTTTTATACCATTGGCACAACCAATGATACATTATTTTCCTTAAAATAAGAATCTTCCTGCACTAAAATACAAGCCACTGAAAGATTCACCCACTTAGTAGTACAGCAGGCTATATCTTTTTTAAATCATGGCCTGACAAGACTGAAGCTTTGAATAACACATTTAAGTGGCAGTGTGGTTCTGAGATGTAATTGTAGAATCACAGAATCATAGAATATCCTGAGTTAGAAGAGGCTCACAAGCATCATCTAGTCCAACTCCTGGCCCTGCACAGGACAACCCCAAGAATTACATCATGTGCCTGAGAGCATTGTCCAAATGGTCCTTGACCTCTGTCAGGCTTGGTGCCACTTCCCTGGGATGTCTGTACCATTGCCCAAACACCCTCTGGGTGAAGAACCTTTTTCTAATATCTAACCTAAATCTCTCCTGTCCACAGCCATACATGTGTCCTCTAAAACCAAGATTCAAGCTACCACATCATTCCTCCCATTTCCCTCCTTCCCCCTCTCCCCCTCCCTATCATCCCCCACCCCCTTTTCTCCTTTTGCATCTTCATCCTTTTTAATTTTGGTTTTCAGCTGAGGCTTTCTGGCTTTCTATCCTTTTGTGAACCTACACTTAGTAAATGCAGGTATACTGCAGATTTCTCCACAGTTTGATATATGACAAGGCTCTGGGAAGCAGTGTGTTCCTCAGAGCTTTGTCTGCCATGCCTACGCATTTAGTTCATATTGGAGAGCAGTTGTGGTGTGTATTAAATAGACTGTTTCTGAATTAAGCCAATGCATAAGCTCTGCTCTGTGTTTGCATTTAAAGCATGCCAAATCCAAAGGAGGATTTGCAAACCCTAGCTGCTGAGTGGCTTTGCCACTGACAAGTCTTCCAACTAGTACCAAACATGCAAGCACCAGCAGTCTGCTCTTAAGCCATTTAGAGATCAGCTAAATCCTGAAACATTAAGAGACAAATGGCACTCTTCAGATTTGCCAGGAAGTGACAGCTATCAGTGGCTCCACTTTCTTACTTATCCATCTTTCTCTCTGTGTTACCATGTCACCTTTTTATGTGTCATATCCCTCTGATGCTGAACCTCTGATGCTGTCATTTCTGTTGTCTCATTTTTCTGACTGCCAATGAGTCTAACAGTGATACTAATTCCTTCAGCCTCCCAGAACATCCTGAGTGATGCTTGATAGGGCCAAAGCAAACAACACTGCTCATCAAAACATGTTTTAAGGAGAAAAAAATCTTTTCTAGCAGCAGAATAAGTCAATGGCATTATGATGCTTTTGCTAATTTCATTACTTCTGCTGTATAACAGAGGCTAAAGATCAGTATTGCTCCAAATAAGGTAAAGACTCTCTTCTTTAAGAGCTGGGGCAACAACCAGCCCTCAAGAATGGTATGGCAGACTTGAGTCCACTGTGGAGACCTTGAACAGATCTTGGGGTTCAAGTCCACCATCAAGCCTGCTGCCCAGTTAGAGACTTCCACCCTTCTGTGTGCATCTGCCAGGGTCTGAATCTCCAGTGAGCCAGGAACAAAGCTGTTACCCTGAGAACAGCTCTTGGAAAGTTTTGTACTCTGTCTTCTGCATACAAAAAGTCCAGAAAAGCAGGCTCAGTTAATTCAGGATATCCACCCAGGGTAACAACTTCAGTGACAGAATGGCATTCTCCTTCACACTGATGAAACTTGGGGCTGAGAACATGTTTGGGCAGCAGTCTCTAGGGTATCACTACTAGCTGAGCAAAACCAAAAATAGAGCATTTTATCTGGCTTCTGTTTAAGGACACTCAAACCCCAGGAACTAAGTAATTTACTTTATGTAAGCATAGTTTACTCCTGTTGTTTCAATTGTCTTAGAAAATGTGAAAACAAAAAGCATCAATATGTGTCAGTAACTGCTTTATCATTCATGACATGCAGCAGTGTTTGAGCAATAGAAGTTTCAGACTTTTACTTCAATCCAAGTACCAGGGAGAGACTTCAGCACTGCAAAAGGAAACCACTGCAATAATTATAACTATCTAATCTTTTCTCTATAGGAGTGCTTTCTAAATACAGCCTGAGAAACACACATGACTGAAGAGAACAACTGTTTAAATTGTTACACCTAGTTAGGGGGTTTGATGCATTGTAGGTGACAACAGTGCTGAAGGATCATACCACTTCCAATAATATTACTTGCTGTAGCTCTAGGCAGAGTGTCAGACACCGGAAATGACAAGATAATGTTATTTATGGAGTTATGTAAATCTAACACTTCCTAATTTAAGTTACTCAAGATAAGGGGTCATAATGCCTTATTAAAAAAAACCCTAAACAAACAACACAACAAAACCACACAAGTCACTTATTTCTGTGCAAAAAAAAGCCCTTTTGACATTCTTCCTGTGTGATTTGCAACTTCTGCTATCAAGTCAAAAGCATTGTTCATCTTAGCGCAGTTGCCCAAATTAAGGAAATGTTGGGTAGCCATTAATCTCAAGGTGTTATATGGAAAACACTTAACACAGAGACTTTACTGATTTTCCATTAAGTTATCCAATACATGTAGAGGATTTTTGTACCATTTTGGCAAATTTAACCTCAGCAAAAGCACACTTGACTAGGTCTCCACATGACAGGAGGACATTTAATTTGTACTGCTGTAGTAAATCCATGTTGAAGAGGGTGGGGGTTGATTGAGAGGCTCTGCTTATCCCTGTCTTTTGTTTGACCACCTAGGGAGTTGTCCTGGTGCCTTGAAATAGGTGTCCAGTGTTGCTTACAACACCTCATGGTATTCAGAACATTCAGATGAGGGTGGCAGACATGATGTAGAGCTTGCAGGAGCCCTGTGCTTCCAGAGTGGCAGTTGAAAGTCAAACAAGATACACTGGGCCTTTAAAATTACTCTAGGAACCTGAATCCCTATGCTGGAGCCACTTGCAATAATATAGGTTAAACCACTTACAGAACCAGCGCAGTATTAGGAGAGGAGGGCAGCAGGCTCCATCCTGCTTTGCACTAGGCAATGCTGAGCCATCATGAAGAACCTAACCTATTATTTTAGATGTGGTTCTGCCTGTGATCCCCAAGGACTGAGGCCACTTACTGCTATATAACACCAAACACAAAATAACAGACCCTGCTTTACACTGCTAGAAGTAAAGGATCTGAAATCTGACCATATTTGAGCTCTAATTAAATGTTCATCTTCAAGAAGATAAAGGTATCATAGGACTAACAAAGCAAAAGAATGCAACTGTGGGTTCTGTCTATCCAGTGCGATTCCATCCCTTCAGTGGCAGCAGTGAAACCACCTCATATGTGACTGAGCCCTGCTGTACTGACCCTTGGGGAGGACAAATTCCTATGGGATAAACAAGAACTGTGACATAAATCACCAAAATTGCTGCTAAATCAGGCTGCTGTGGGGTCACTCAGCCGTAATATCCCCCAGATGCTTCTCTTCACATTGCCAAGAGCCACTTCATGCATACAAACAAAGCTAGAGAAATTAGTTCTTAAGCCACTTTTCTCTCAAATGTATTGGAGATCTCTGTAATGTCTTGGAGAAAGGTTAGAAATGGTGCAAGATTTTCATAGCAATGAACTGAGATTTCCCCTCCCTCCTGTGTCATGGTGGCATATAGCAACTTTCTTCAAGATATGAGCTGCTGTCCCTGCACACGGAAACTGAAGAAAACAGTATACCACCTGCAACAAATGGATGCAATGGATGTCAAAGCTCTTTACAAACCCAAATAGGTCTGCATAAGTCCATGCACATGTAGTTATGTCCAGACAACAACTGCTTCCACAATAAATTGATAGCATTGCTTTGATGAAATAGAATCATCGAATATCAGGTTGGAGGAACCTCAAGGATCATCTGGTCCAACCTTTCTTGGCACAAGTATGGTCCAGACAAGATGGGCCAACATTCTGTTCAGCTGAACCTTTAAAGTGTCTGATGTTGGGGAATCCACTGCTTACTTGGGGAGACTATTCCAACAGCTGATTGTACTCACTGTGAAAAACAAATTTCTTGTAGGAAACAAGTGACTCATCAGAATCTCCCCAGAAGTAACTTGTACCCAGTGCCTCTCATCTTTTCCATGTGGCTCCTTGTAAAAAGGGAGTCTCCATCTTATTTGCAGCCACCCTTTAAGTACTGGAACACGGTGATAAGGGCTCCCCTAACCTTTCTTTCCTCACATGGCTGACTTTCCAGTCTTTTAATTGTGGCCCTTCTCTGGACCCTCTCCAACCTGTCCATGTCTTGATCCCAAGTCCATCATCTCAGGTTGACAGTGTTTTCTCTGAGAGGCTAGGAAGTTTGTTACTTGGAGACTGTTAGTAAATCAACTTTAACAATGCTTGTGCTCTTTCTCTGCTGTATCTAGTAGAAAAAGTCTAGCAAGACAAATTATCAGAAGTTTAAAATAATGCCATTTTTAATAATAAAAAAATATTTTCAGCGAGGCCGACAGATTTACTGAAAGTCAATTCTAATATTTTCATTTAATTTCTAATGTTTGTTTGTTCTATTAAAAATTGAGGATTGACTTCCATGCTGGTTTTATTTCCTTGTTGGAAATATCAGCTACTTAAATGCTAACAGAATAAGTATTAATAGCAGAAACACCACAGTGAGTGGTGGTGGTGATTGCCAGTGAGAACAGGGGGAAAAAAAATCTCAAAATAAAATTTATTTAGTTATCTTCTTGTACCACTTTAAAGTATGTTCCTGGGGTTATACTTCTGTAAATCAGTTCCAGATGGAGGCCAGGAGTACTCTATTTACCAGGATAAAGCTTCCTCAATCTATGCAAGTACGACATTAATTGAATCATCACTGCTCTAGGACTCATTTGCTTGTGGATTCAGTGATATCCCTTGACTTTTTGTGTAGGTGTTTAACACTGTTATTTATTAACTATGCTATAGCCTACAACAAAAAGTTACCACCTACAAAAAATACTGGTCACCAGGAGCACATTCTTTCAGGAGATGTGAAACATCTCCCAGTAGAGTGACATATGTTCCCAAGGGATCAATTGAATGTTGAAGACTTCAGGAAAAATAAAAAAATTACCATTTACAGCTTGCTTTGGATAAGTAACAAAATAAAAGCAGGTAATTGAATTTCAGGAGCTGAAACTTTAAGTAAACCAAGTAATAGTGTGAAATTTGGGTGAGTGCACAAAGGCAGCATTTACATTTACATTTTAGTGGAGAATATCTTCCATCAGCTGGGAATTATTAGAAACAAGACTTTTCTTTTGCTTGCTACCAAGCCAACAAAATCTGGCATAACTAAGTGGAATGAATCACAGTTTGTTATGCATGCTTGGCAACAATTCCTGTTTCCTGCATGTCCTTCAACTACTTATGGAATGTATTCTGTTACATTCATTTCCAACTCCCTGTTTCAATTTTCCTTTCATGGAGTAATGGAGAAGCCTGTTAAAGGCCCTCCTATTGTTCAGATTGGTCTTCAGCCTGGTGCTCACAGTTCAACACAAGGTACAGTGCATGATCCTAGGGCAAGCTTCATGTTACCATGGTCAGCATTTCTTCCAGTCCTAAGCTAATGCTCATAAAGCCAAAATCACAAAGCAAGTGTCCAAAGATCAAGACTGGCAGGTTTTTTATTTGTCTCCTACTTTGAGACAACTATTATTACTATTGTTATTAAGCTTTTATCTATCCTTAAAATGTCAGAACTGTACTGTTAAACTGAATGTCAAAGTTTTCAAGTAGTTACAGAATCTGCAGAGCTGCAAGTTCAGATGAATATGGTGAGGCGCACAGGATCTGACAACGTTTTACTGTTGCTATATCTAGTGAAAGTAGAGCCAAGGAAGTGGTGATTTAGGGAGGATGAAAGCCTGAGTCTGCTGTATTTCTCTTCTCCCAGACTAACTCTCACTTTAGGAAAGTATCCTCACTGCAGGTGAAGAGCTTTGGGAATTCATACTGTGAATAAGGTAGCATCACCATCTGAAACATGAGACTAATAATATTTCTATTCTCTGCTGGGTCTGAATCCCAGGACTTGTTCTATTTTTGGGGGGAACTGTGAAGAACAGCCAAGATGAGACTTATCCAAATAAACTTAGCCTCAAGAGCAGCATTCAGTGCAGGGCAACAGCAGTGCACAGCAAACACGTTTGCATGGATGTCCCTTACTGTTCTCTGCAAGCCTGAGCAGCAGTGTTCCAGGTGACCTTGTGATTCACTACCAGCAAGTAGCAGCTGCCCTCATGATAACTCCATCCGGAGGGGCATTTCTTCATGCTTACCTCCTAAAATGAAAGAGGAAAAGGCAAAACAGACTTGTGTTCACGGTGATCTAGGTCTATGCACTAATCCTCAGAATTAAATTGAGCATGAACTTCAGTATGTCTCAATAAAGCTACAGCATTGCTTAAAAGATTTAAGTAAATAAATGTCTGCCAGGGAAGCCTACAATTTATAATGAGTAGCTTTAATGGTGACAGCAGGTTTCAGTTCCAAAAATCCTCTTAAGAGACCGTATTCATTTGGACACCATTTTCTGTCTCCTGCAGCCTGTGCGGGGAACGCAGTGCACAAAATTCAGCATGATGTTTTACATGGTGGAGGGAATGTATGTTTACAAAATATGTAAGTAAGGTAATTTTTTGCTAACTTCCACTCATTCTCTCACAGACTTCATTCACCAACAGTCTTATGTCCACATCCTCACAAGCACCAAGACACTAGAGCATGTCAGGAGCACCTGTGGGTGACAGAGAGGAAAGGCAACCTTAACAGTTAAGTCCTCATATTTCTGGGAAACTTTTATATCTGGTGAATGCAAACTTAACTCTGAACAACACTTTCACTCCCTGTATAAGTAAATAGCTGCTACAGGAAATTGCTTGGCTTGAGAGTATCACTTATTGTAGACTCCATGCTCTAACTTAGATCCTTACTGTTGGCTATATTTTTACCTTGCTTTGGGAATTCCAGAATTTCCATGTTATCCCATCACACTGAAACAACTTTTGAGTGCTTTCTTCATAATGCAAGAGACCCTTCAAATCTGGTGTACAGGCCTTTGGAAAAGGGTAATAGTCCTGGAAGGAGAAAATGTCATTTGAACATTTGAAGAAAAATTATTACACAAAAGAAACAAACAACAAGAAACAGATTAATTACGTCTTATAATAAAACTTTATGCCATGAAAACTCTTCCAGGCCTGAATTGTTACATTATCTGTGTATTGGTTAAACGCAGCTTTGGAGTGGGGAGGGTTAGGCTGCAGATCTCAGAGGTGTTAAATCATTTTGGAAAAGAGCATGACCGAAAACAGATGGCAAAAATGCTTATGGAACAGAAGGTTTCATACCTTATGTTTTGATCTTGGTTCAGATGACAGTTCTGCCTTATCAGCTTGTGGAATTTCTGTCTTTCTAGAGGAGATGACATTTACCTGTGGCTGTGCTTGGCTAATTACGGACACTTGAGCCTTCTTGTTAGTTTTAGCTGATGAAGTGTCATCCTCTATTTTGAGTGATACCATCCCATGATACTTCATTTTACAGTATCACACATGCAAGAAGAACAGGAGAGGGAACAGAGAGGGTTAGTACATACAAGCAACTCTTAAATAAACTAACTAAATAAAAATTAATTATAATACAAATTGTTGTAAATTAAGGGAAAGGGACACCAATAAAAAGAAATATACATAGGAAAATAAAGTGTTGGTCATAACAAATTATTAAGAGTGATAAAGATGGAAAGAACATAATTAGAAAGAAATCATAGAAACAGCTGAGAAATACTCATAATGCTCTTACTTTGAAAATTACATCTGTTCCATTTCTAAATACAGATGAAGGATGAACCTGAAAAAGGTAGAGCAGCAGAATGAGATGGGGATATTCATGTATTATAGAAACAAAAAATACTTTATGCAAGATTTACTACAAGACCTAGGTTGTAAATCTTGCAGAGCATGTCTTGATTGTAGTTCTTTCTCTTTTGGAATATAAACAGACCACCGCTGAAAACAGCCATTAAAAACATAAATTACAAGTGTCTTTGTAAACAGATTCCATTAACTTTTTGGGTCAAAATAGCAGAAAGTTACTAAACCACCTAGCTATACCAATATAACTTAAGCAGGAAAATCAATGGGCAAGGTTTAAAATAATTGTTCCCTGTTTAAGCTAACAGTGTTTTCAGCTTTAGAACTTCAGTATCAGATGCACAGCTTCTATACATTTGCCTGGCTCCACTTACTTCTTTTTTCTAACTGACCCATAATTTATACAAGATTAGAAGCTCAATAATTGCTGAATTGGCTTGATGCGTGTTTCCTTCCCCAACTCTGTTTTTCTTCCTCTCTTGTATACATGGATCCTCCAAATGAGGATGTTGGCTTTTTTTCCCTCAGTGTATTTTTAAATGGCTCTCGTGTCTGACTGAGAGCAAACTCAGGTAGTTTATGGTTATTGTATGGTCAGGTAGGATGACAAATATGTTGCAAAAATATGAGAGCTAAATGAAAATATCACATCACAGCAAATTCACAAATTAGCCCATCACTGCAATACAGAAGTGTCTTACTGTTCTGCCATTTCCAGTCACTCTCAGCCTGATCCTTGACCGATTCATCAAGCTGTGCTCCTGCCGCAGGTCCCCTCCATGCTCTCTCATCCCTTTGGAAGGAGGCAGTGGGATCCCTTCCAAGGAAGCATTGCCAGGCCTGGAAGGTGATGATGAGCCTGAGGAAACTGGAAACAGTGTGCCTCTCCCCCAGAAGTCATGCTTGCTTTGGCCAGAAAAATGGGAATAGCTGCACTGACCTGAAAGCATAAAAAATGGCAGATGGTCAGTCCTAACTGCATGAGCAGATAACTGGTCACATTGACATGGGCACATAAACAGCTTGTCATTAAAAGTTGGATGATTCTTTCACTTGATGTGATTGATTTATTGTCTGTTCAGTCATCCCTGTTTGTGGGGTTAGCTATGTCTAAGCAACCACTACCTATATATTTTATAGGCAACGTGTCTGTCTACCAACAGGTCAGAATTTCAACCAAGCATCTGCTAAAAATACCTGTTTTCATGCCTAGATTGAGGTTTGCAATGCTGTTTTTTGGTCATGGGTAGACAGGTATCTTTAACTACTATTGGTGATACTTCCATCAGGCCCAGACAATTTTCTCAAGGACACTATTCTTCCTACAAACTCAATTTAATTATCTCCTGATTTACATTATGCATGTCAAAGAGAAAAAAAATCTGAAATTTTAAAATAATTTTTATAGTATAAAGCCTAATTCATTGCAATGTGTGTATTTAAAATATTGTTTCATTAAATACCAGAAGGAAAAACACTCTCCAGCTTTCAGAGGACTCAGCTGCTTTGATAGCTATTTTTGTTTTTCTACAGTTTTTCTGGTTTTCTCTTTCTACAACTGCTACTTTTTGTTGCGATTTTAGGCACACCACATTCGATCACTGAAAAACACTATAATAATGGAGGCATAAAAACCTAAACTCTGTAACAATTATTACTGTATGATATAAAGTTGTGGACTGTGTTTGTTAAGTTTTATAAAATACATTGCTGGATTCATTTGTTAGGTTTGTTTTTTGAGAGGAAAATAGATCTTTTTCAGAGGTGTATAACAACTGCTAAACAATAACTGGAAAAAACACCTCACATTCTAATGAACCTAAAAACACTTTTTCTCACTTTAATAAATGAGAACTGAACTCGTGTTGTTATGAAAAGTGGTTTCTTTCCTGGAACCTTTCTCATTTTGTACTCAATGCTTTCTCCATGCTGTGTTTCCTAAGAGAATGAATATGATTGTGTGAGAAAATAAAGGGTCTGCAACTGCTGAGCCTGTTTTCTCTAGAAAAGAAAATAAGCGGTTTGATCTAAAGGTGAGTGTTGGGAACAACTCATGGTTGAAAATTGGTAGCTATTTAGATAAGATTGTCCCACCTTCTTAATGATGAAGATCAAAAGAGAATACCTCCTTTTGAGTCCAAAATTTTCACTATAGCTTTTGTCCGTGTGCCAAGAACGGCATTCACAGGGGAGCTCAGAACTACTTCAAAGATTTCATCATCTTCCTCTAATCCATCATAGGTAATTGCTATATTCCACATCTTGGTTGACATTCCTAACAGAAATAAACATTTTAATTACTCTTTAAGTGCTATTTCAATCAATCAGGATGTCAAAGAAATATATTCATTAACATGTCTGCAGCTAGAATGGAGTATCTGGTGTATGCTATTGTGCTCCTACCAACCGGTGGAACTCCTGCTGTTCTCCCAAATAACATTAAGTTTGAATTTGTTCCTGGGCAATGATGATTCAGTTCAAGCATATACACTACAAAAGAAAGCTGCTGTAAATGTGCAAAATGGCACTACAATACATAGATTTAGGACTTTCGTTGCAATTTTCAAGAGAAAATGTATTATAGGGCTTTTATCTGAAAAGCTTAATTTTAGAGGTGTAACAGTTACTTTAAATACCTGCAAATGGATCAAAGACTGTGTTAAAGTGCATCCTTCTAGGCACATTTTATACTTGTTCACAAGATTTTTACTTGGTTTCTTGTCTTTACCAGGTAACTTCAGGTTTGCATTATGTGTATGAGAAGAGGTGTTGGATACCTTGAATAACTTAAGTTGTACTCAGCTTTGTCTAAATTTCACCTGTGTCCTGGGCTTTGCCTATTATGCCTGAAGTCTATAAAGCTTCTCACAGAGCAGCTCAGGGTGAATTCTCCCCAGCATAGCTGTAAGAAGATCAGGAGACATCATTTCAGCACTCTTGATATTTTAACTGTTGTAAAGGGACCATACACCATCTCACCCTAAGTAGTAATGACGCTAATTTAAAAGGAAGGCCACTGCATTCCCAGAAAATGAGCCCAACCATCTTTAATATTATTCAGCTTCTCTAGCTACAGATATGTAACAGATTTGACCCTCCAAAACAAGAGTTTACACTTTCAAAATCAGTGAATTAATTTGAAAGCTTTTCAGTACACTAGTTCATACCTGGATCAAACTGAACAAGCTTGGAGGGAGTCACTGTAAAGTCCTTTCCCAGCTGAGCTGATACTTCATTGATCTAAGAAGAAATCAAACAGTAAGTGCCACGATCTGACCCATTTCCCCAAACCACTGCATTCTGCTGTGAGCTGAAGCTACTGTGTGCCTCTTCATGCAGTCTCAAAAAGACAGGCCAATGTATACATGTGCTCAGGCTGGAAAAAAGATAAAGACCTAAGAAATAAACCTTGTGATGTCCTTGTTCATGGTTTAAATAACACATAATCAAAAAAACCCCATGCTCTTCTTATAATTTTGCTTCATCTCCTTTCAGATTTCTACTTGACAGCGACGGGTAACACTGCTGTTCACCACGGCTGGGTATCCTGACATTCCTGGCTCCTGGACAGGCACATCCTGCCATCCCAGAAGAGCTGCAACAACCTGGCTACATTTACCTCTTTAGCCCTTTGTGAGGTCTTGGAAGAAGTGTTTGCATGCGGAGCTGTCCGCCAGCCCTAAAGACTCATTGGGAGAGACACGAACTCTACATATGTAAATATAGGGACTCCAGGAACTCCCTGAATTTTCACAGGACACTACCAGAGGACACCAGTTTCCACCTCCATTCTTGATGCTGGGATCAATTTCACTTGTCCTTTTAGCAAGGTAACAACCAGAGTAGTACCACTGGAGTCTGTGAAGGATAGACAGGATGACTCCAATGGAGTCAATAGCAAAATTCCCACTGACTTCAGTAGAAGAATAACCAAAATTTTGTTTCCAAGTAGGGCTATAATCCTGAGAAACTCTGAGGGGGGAAAATAGCATTTCTCCAGCAAGAGGAGCTGGTAAAATCCTGGAATTCCCATTTTATGAGGAAAGATAAAATTTGTGAAGGCAAATTGGACAAAATCTGTCTTACAGAATTATAACCTGCAGCTTTCAATCTATTTTTTTTTAACAAGAAAAGACACTGTTGCTGAAGATGTAGGGGGTTCCTTGAGCTTTTCTTAGGCTGAGGGTAGCAGGGAGAGAAATGGGGGAAGCTGCCATGGCTGTGTAGTTGAAGCCCCTATAGCTTCTGGACTCCTCCAGCCTGAGCAGGGAAAAGCGAAGTCCAAAGGGTCCAGATTGCCCAAAGCCTGGATTTTAAAGTGAGAGATCCTGGAAACCAAGCTTCTGTGCACAGTGCCTGAGGAAACTACCTGTTCTGTTTTTTCATCAACACTAAAATACTGCTCCAAAACATTCTCAGTTTGGTTGATCAGCATTTCCACTGAAAAGTCAGGAAGTTTTGTCCATAGTGTTTCAGCTATCTGTAGTAGCAAGGACAAAGTCCTGGCAAGTCTGGATTAAATCACATGAACTCTTTGCTAATTACTGAACTATCTTTTAAGTCTAAGAAGGAAATTAACAGGTTCCACTACTTATTAAGTTTCCACTTAGGAGCTTGGCTTTTGGCTTTACCTTTGCAGTTATAAAAGCAGGCTCTGCTGAGTGTCCTGCCCTCGTGATTTTCAGGGACACCATTCCCACACTCTCACACACTTCATATGCAGTCTGTTGCATTTCAATCCGAGACCACCGCAGCTCCAGCCTGTGGGAGGGTAAGGAATGCAAGCGTGAAGGAAAGCCACTTTCCTGGCCACTCCCAGCCCCCTTGCTGCTTTCAGGCTGACCAAGGGGCCATTTCTCTCTGCACTGGTGATTTAGCAAATACACATTCTGAGTCTCTGTCTCCAAATCAACATATTTGTGTGATTTAGCTGATTAGGAGGAGCTGTTAGTAAATATTCCTGACCAGCCCTGATCTACCCTATACTATGTCAGAACCTTGTTTCACAACCAGAGGGGCTGTGCAGCGTCTTTGAGAAGAGCAGTTTGTCCATAACACCAAATAGGCAAATATCACTGTTTGGTCCTGGTTCTCTCTAACTTTGTAGTTTTATTATAGTCCAGTATTTTCTGTGTAATACCCTCCTTTCTGTCCACCTTCCCTCATCTATCCTCTAACTCTCCTCCTGTAGCATACAGAGCACACTCTAGGACTTCACTGCCTCCGTGTGAGGACCCTCCCTGCTTCCCTTATTTTGGTGCACTTCACTCTTCAGCCCTAAAAGTGACTGAGTCCAGGTGTCTCATGCACTGAATTTTAGGATTCTTGATAGGGGTTGTGACTGAACCTTGCAAGATCACATGCTGCACAGGGTAGTCAGTAAAGATCTCACCCCTTTGACAGCTGTGCTAAAAATTAGTGAGTGTCAGAAAGGAATGAAAGACAGTGCAAAGAAGGAAAATGTGCTGAGCTACTTACATGACAATTTGAACTTTTCTATAATAAAATTCTAGACCTTTCAGGACTGACTAGCTCTAACACCAGTGAAAATTTCCTCTTGTCCCCCTTTATCCTCTGATGCTAAGCTTCTGAGCAACCCATTTAGAAGCTGATTAGCTTTGGTTTTGCTAAAGACATAAATGCTGGGACATCAACAACAAATCAAACTTATATTTTGAACCAGTAATCATTAGATGATAAATTGCTTAAATAAAAAAAACCAAAACAACAATCTTACAGGATTTTAAATCTAATATTAAAATATTATTTTTTCACTAACAGTCAAATTCCCCCTTGTTCTGCTGATGGATAACTTCTGCTTTACTGAAACACCTATTTTCCATTAAAAAAGTACTTTTTATTTGCTGTCTTCCTAAGGCTGTGCTATGCATTGCTATTTATGTAGAAGAAGTGATACTTTCCCATGAGAAGTGGCAGCATTATAATGGTGGGTTTAATATTAGTTAATCTGTGAGCCAGTGCAGAGCAGCTGGGCTGAGCTCAGGCTGTTTGTGTTCAGATGTGTTTGTGTATGGGGACATCTTTTGACACAGCACATAACTGCTGAGACACTTCCTCCAGCTCTGCTCAATCCCTGTTCTCTCTCCAGCATGCAGGGAAGTGCTCTGCCCTTGGAGCCAGCTCTCTGCTCCTTTTCCTTTGCCATGAGTCCTGGTTTGTGAGTTGTCAGTTTAGCCCAGGAAAATAGCATTGGTAATTTTTTCTCAGTTACTTCTGATTACATAAGTTGGTTGTACATTTAGCCCTATTTTCAGAAATAAAGGCAAATGTTGCCTCTGCTGGAGAGCTGCTCCCATTTTTGGCATAGTTCAAAAGATATTCTAATTTTTATACACGAGACTTATCATGAGTCACATAGAAATTTTGATAAAATGCCTAATATATGCAGTAAATGAAAAAGAAGATGCTATGTGCTCCCCACCTTTCAGTGCTCTTTTGCAGAAGTGTGACTGTCATAGCTTTATTACTTGAGAGCATCCCCTTCATTGTAATCTCAAGATCATGAAAAATGAAGAGCCATCAGCACCGGGCAAGAGCGACTTGCAGCTGCAGGACCATGTTCATGTAGCAGTAGTCCTATCCCTCAGCACCCAGCATATTCCAATGCCCAACTGCCACTTAGGTTAAACTCCGTTATGTTTTCCTGTGAGACCCCAGAGGCCCTTGAGAACTGTGCCCCTGTCTAACCTGGAGCTAACCCATTGTGTTTTGCTTTCTTGAGGGTAAGAAACCTCCTGTACTCTAACAAAAGCAATGACAGTTTGAGTTGTATCTATCTTCATGTCTGCATGGTTTCAAACCCAGCACTGATTCATTTGCACCCGAGGACAGTGCACAGAGTGCACCACAGCACATATCACTGAGCGTCACAGTTACCTTTGGGGTAGTGCAGAGTTTCCACTGGCATCTGTGACTTGAAACTCCAAGTGGTCTGAATTCATGTCCTGCGTCAGATTGATGACATAAAGTATGATTTTGCTGTTTAAATCCTTTTGGCTAAACCATTCCCGAATGACTCCACCTGGGAAAAAAAAGAATATTCAGGTGACCCGAAGGCCTGTTAATAAGAACCACATAACTCATATAGACTCTTTTCAGCTTTTCTTTTTATTGAAAATCTGAACTTAACAGAAGCATGGGTTTATAGCTAAACAGCAACATGGTAGTTCATTGTAAGTGCCAGCCAATTTCTTCATGTGACATGTTTATCAAAAGGCCAACTTCAATATGAATCTTTCTTTTTCTCAATACAAACGAAAAATACTTTCAACAGCAAAGACAAACAATCATCTCAAACTCTTTCATGATCAGTTATGGACATGAGACTCAGGTTTCACTCTAAAAGCTTTCTTACTACATTTGAACTTTGCCCAAAGTTTGCTAAGAAATATTGATTCCCTCCATCAAGCAAACATTAACAGGGTAGGCTTTGAAATCTGGTCTGGTATGTCCCAAAAAACAGACATTATAGAAGAAATCACCTGTTGTTATATTTTGCAGGTAGCCATAATGAGGACCTTGTAATATCTTAAAAATTATTTTGTCATCTTCTGTATTGGGGTCAGATGCCTTCAGGGACCTGGCAGTAAGATAGATCCCATAATTGCCATTCTTGAGCAGTTCCACATCAGAAAAGCAATGAAGATGAACAATTTTTGGTGCCATTTTGTCCAAATGATCCACCTAAATCAAAGTTAGACATTCATTTTACAGCATCAGGATATTTTCTGCCCTACCTTTGCTAAAAAGCACAATAGACTTGTCAGGGTGGCAGTAGCCACTTTGACTCACAGTCTGCTGCAGATGTCTGATTTCCGCGCAAGTTCTGTTTCACATGAGAAGTTTCTAGGCCCAGATTGCCCATCACTTACTGCATGAGGCAGGGTACAGTGCACACTGGGGAGGGCAAGAAATTCTCTGTCCCCCTGCCCTGATGTCTCACACTTCCCACAGTCCTTATTTTTGATGTAATTTTCTTCATAGCAAAAGATAACTCCAGCAAAGGTTTTCACCTCTGTTTCACAGTAACAGGCATGGAAACCTAAGGATTATGATAATCATAGTAATAGATATGGCATATATATCTCCTCAAAGCTGGGCCACCTTTCACAACTTCTGATGAATCTTCTAGCACTCTGAAATGGTTGTTGCTGCTCCCATATCCCATCCTCTGCTGAAACAGCACTCCTCACTTGTCATATAATTTGAAACTTTGTCATCAGAAAAAAAACCAAGCCTCTTTGTTTGTATCAGTGTTTTGAAACACAGAGATTTTTGACATACAATGCAACCAGGCCTGCTTTGTATACTGAAACATGCCACACAGATGCATACAAGAAATAATAGCAAAAACATCTGAGCCTATGACAAAGTGTGCAGAGCTTAAAAACGGGGGAAATAGGAAGTGAACAGAAAGATTCTAGTAAAGAAAGAAAGAATCAGAGCAGGCATTTTACAAAGACTCTCAGACAGGAGACAGGCTGTCCAGTTGTGGGAGCAAAGTGGTTGTAATTCAAAATTGCTGTGACATGAAGATCAATAGTCATCCTCATACCCCTCATATGCAAATCATGGGGTCAGGCCCCAGGCTGGATAAGAGAGAAGGAGGAAGTTCAATCCTCCCCACGGGTGTGCTGAACTTGATGGTTGTGATTTCTATGTATAATATTTTAGCACGTAAGTGTTAAGTATATAATTATCTCCTTGCTTATATTTATGCATTGTGGCATGTAGTTAGTTCTCCAGGCTAATTATTCATGGAACACACAGAAAGCAAACATTTTAGGTGATAAATACCTCAGTTAAATCATAGACTGGAGCAAGTATCAGTTCCCAGCAAAACTACAGCATTTTTGACCTTATCATGCTATTTATCTCTATGTAGGACTGTGGTCACACTTGCCTGAATGGTGAATGCCACTGGCTCACTCTGCACCCTCCCATTCACGATGAAGCCTTGATTAGTTCTGTCTGTGGCAACAAATGTAAATCTGTCAATCTGGGAATTCCCGCCTCGGTGCTTGTATGCGACATCCCTGCTGTCCACGTCTTGCTGGGTGAAATTGTCCTGCAGTAGCACAGCCCCGCGATAATAGAGATGACCATATTGGGGCAGCTGAGCCAAAAGGAAGGTAAGGTTTTCTTTGGCAGTGTCTGGGTCTGAAAGCTGCAGGACATCAGGAGAAAGGAATGTCATAGTGCCTTCCACAAGTCTTAACCCCTTGTTCCTAGAGAGTGTGGGCAAAGCTTGGTCGACTGCCTCCAAGGAGATCATGAATGTCCCATGCTTAGTCCTCAGTCCATTGCTGATGATGAATCTGGCAAAGAGAGGCAAGGCAGCCTTCAGCATGTGTTCTTGATTCACCATGTACTGAAATGAAATGATAATACAGACCTTTACTACAGGACTTGCCTGTGTTGATACTGCAAAAGTAGAAAAGCTGGGTTGAGGTCAAACCCAGATGGTGGGTGGAGTGGATGTGCAACTTAAGAAGATGAAAGCAGATGGCCAGGTATACTATCAGAGTTACTGTACAACTGCAGGGACCTGAGTTCATGCCAGAGGAGTGGCTTTGAGGTACACCAGTCATAAAGGAACTGATCTAATCTTCTATCTCAGGTACAGATGGAGTGGATCTAAAATGATGGACTGGCTGAGGGGGTTTATTCTAGCTTCTGGCATACATACATATTTTATACATCCTTAAGTATACCTTCACTTGGTTACTTGGCAGTGACATCTGCCAGTGAAACTGTTGGCCTTGTCTACAACTTAGAGAAAGAGCTGCGTAAAGTGCATTATCTGCCTGGGCAATGGTGATGGTGGTGGTTGTAGGTTTATGGGGGAGGTTTGGGGGGGTTATTTGTTTATTTGTTTGTTTTGTTTTGTTTGGGGTTTTGGTGTTTTTCTTATGTTCACAGTTACAAATCTTTTCTACAAAATTACCTCAAACATACCTGAAAAAGCAAGCTGGAGAAAGATTCATCCTCATTTCACTTTACACGTTTGTTTAGGCACTAACTGTATCTGTAAATTTCTGTCTATTCGGAGGAACTGATTTGTGTTTGTTTATGAAACTCAAGTAATATCTTCAAGTACAAAGATATTAGACAGAACTGTTCAAGTTGCTAGGGTAATTTTAAAAATGTAGATGTCTATACCATGTATTTATCAAACTGTCATATCCTCAAAGTTCTTATTTTCTACTGGGAATTTCTATTAAAGGCAACATAGTTTCTTGTAGTTCTCTCTCAAGCACTAATGTTTCTTTAGATATACTAAAGATTTGATTATTTGATTTGATTATTTAACAGCTCTACAGTTAGTTTTCCTTTAAAACTAAAAAGATAAAGGTGACCAAGGCTGGAGACAAAAATCTATATGAAGATGTGCTGGTGTTGGCTGGGGTGCATTTTCTTCACCGTCACTTGGTATGGGACTGTGTTTTTAGTTTGGGCTGGAAATAGTGTTGATAACACAAGGATGCTTTGGTTTTGTTACTGTTGAGAAGAAATCACCCAGCAGCAAGGTCTTCTCTGCCCCTCACACCAACCCACCAGTGAGTGGGCTGAGGGCGCACAAAGAGTTGGGAGGGGACACAGCCAGGACAGCTGACCCCAACTAACCACAGGGATATCCCAGACCATATGGTGTCATGCTCAGTGTAGAGAGCTGGAGGAAGATGAAGATGGAAAGGGGGAAACATTTGGAGTGATGGCATTTGTCTTCCCAAGTCACCACTATGCAAACTGGAGCCTTGCTTTCCTGGGGTGGGCTGAACAACTGCCTGCCCATGGGAAGTGGTGAATGAATTCCTGTTTTGCTTTGTGTGCACAGTTTTTGCTTTATCTACTAAACTGTCTTTATCTCAACCCACGAGTTTTCTCACTTTCACCCTTCCAATTCTCTCCCCCATCCTACCAGGTGGGGACTGAGTGAGCAGCTGTGTGGGGCTTTGTTGCCGGCTGGGGTTAAACCATGACAGAAGTCTACCAGCTGGGTATGGGCTTTTGCCATAAAATTGACAGCCTGGTCTGCAGAAATTTATTATCAAATTTAGTTCAAATAAAAATAAGGAGAAAACAAATCTTTTGGTCTTCAAAATTCATCCCACTTTTCATTGTCAAGATAATTGCTTAAGGTTTTTTCTTACATGGAACATCATCAAAAAATTTTGAGGACATATGACACTAAAAATGAGTTTGAAAACACCTCACAATCCTTCCTGGCCCCTCAACTTATAGTACATACGAGTTACTTGTCTTTCTACATAAATTTCAGTGATTATGCTGCATAGGACATGCAAGAGCATTTTGGAAAGTGTTTTTCACACAGGTTTGTCCTTCCTGATCCAGAACAGAGCCTGCCTTGCAAAGAAATTTGCTGTGGTAAAGTGAGACAGTTGTTTCAGACAGTATGAGGGCCAACCTAGCTGGCTGTTTTCCACCCAGAGCTCTTCTACCATACATGATTGAAATGAAGACTGGCTGACATTTAGATAGATGTATCTGCTTGCTCTTGCTCTGCTGACTGCAGACCTTGCAGAAATATTTTAAAAATTATGGGGTCAGCCCCTGGTCTATTGTTGTATGCCTCAAATGTGACTCAGTAGGTCATGGAGCAGCTTACTGTATCATGCAGACTGCCTATCTAAAACTCCTCACTGCCGTCACCAATGCTGGATGATTAGGGCTTGATCAACTTGTAAACTGGCAGTACGCCATGAAACAGATGGGAATGAGCATAGGCAGACCAGGGACTATATAGTAGTTAGAAATATGTTTACTGAGGATGGTATTCCCAGCTGGGGACCTAGAGACATCTGTCTGCACTGACCTGATGCTATTGTGCCAATGGTAAAAGTGTTGTTCTATTAGTAAGCTAGCTGAAATCAAATATAGAACTAGGATAATTATGATAAACACTACGCTAAGAGGGGAAAAGGGTAAAACACCTACAGTCAAGATCTTAACCTTCCCTCAAAAAGTCTGGAAGATTGCAGCTGGAGTTTCCTCTGGTTCTTTTGATGGCTGTAAAATCATTTGGGTGATGTCTCAAACAATATTTAAGTGAAAGACTTATATAAGCCAGTTCATGAAACTGAAGGTTTTTCCCATTTTCTACAGAATACCAGATAGGAGCAAACCTCCTGGTTGTATACATCAGACTGAAATTTACAATGGAAATGCCATTTGCCAACTCAGTTTCACAGATGATGAAACTGCCTGTGTCCAAGACATCCTTTTTCTGCACTTTGGAAGATTTTGGTTGTTTATTTCTAGTTAATGTCTATTCCTTAGGAATGGAAAGCAGCCAGTATTCTCCTCACCCTGATGAAATTTAGGGGATAACTCCCAGGCACAGTTTGGAGGACATGTTGCATGGTTTGAATTCACCATTACCAACATTTCACGCTTTCTGCAGTTTGATGGCAATGGAGTTGGCTATAGGACCTACCATCTGTCATGGCATTTAAAAGATAAAAATGGAATCATAAATTGTGCCAACTCATTACAAAATGAGCCAGCATGTCAAAATGGAGGACATTAGCATGTTCTTTTAGTATCCTGCTGCCAGCATCTGATGTCAGGTTGCTAATCACTTGAAGTCGTCTGTCCAAACAAGCACTGCCAAATCTTTCTTCCAGGCCAGCAGCACCAAACAATACAGGTAAATTTACAGCTGAAGGAAGTACTTCAGTGGAAAGTAAAAATATGATCAGTTAATTCCTCACCCTCCCATAATTGTGCATATAATTAGTGTAACTATTCCTTGTTGGAATAATATTCTGCCAGAATATTTATGTCTCCACAAAACCAAATTATTTTCCAAGTGTAACATCAAGAAATATAATAATTGTGATTAAAATAATTATCAAATATCAATATTTATTAAAACATCCTAACCTTACTTTTATAGGTCACCTTTCTATTCTGGTTCTTAGCCATTGATCTAATGGAAGACATGGGGGTTATCCACATTTGCAGTTTCCCTAGAGTTGTTTGGTCTGCTTTTGTTAGTGTGATATGGAAGTCATACTGACACATGCACTGCCCAAACTAGGGCTGGCATGACTGCAGCCTTACTTGTCTATTCTAATTCTAGTTTTGGTCATAGTGTTTCACAATTGAGAAACACAAAACTAGGGAATATTTTTTTTACTTTCTCTGTTGTGAGTACAAGTGGATGAGACAAATCTCCTAACTAGAATTTTCACTACATCAAATTTAGTGGAAGGGATAGTTTAAAATGTTTAATCTGAAGAAAATTTCAAAATTACTTTTGGCTTAACTCTGGATAATGTCACTGGAACTGCCCCAGTGTCATAGAGAGGTTTATTTGATGCCTCCATGCCCCACTTGCTTGACTTGCCTGCAGAAAGGTCTCAAACTGGATGATGCAATATGTTCTTGAATCCTTTATTTTTCTTAGTTGCAAATGAAAAAAACAGTAATCTCTTAATTTTGAATTTTACAGTAAGTCTATTTTCTGTCAGAAGATGTTTTCTGAGAAAATTACCAGTGCTAGTGAGAAGTAAGCATTCTTCCTTTAGAAGTACTTTCCTTATTTCTGAGCCATTTTTCTCCCTGAATTTGCTCTCTTTTCAAAACTGTCCTTAAGACTTTGAGCAACGATACATCTACTCTGTCTCTATGCTATGATAACTCAGTACATCATTCTGCTTTATAACCAAGGGAGGTTCATTTTAGAACAAAATAAGGACATCCTCACTTTAGGAATGCGCCTAGTATAAACTGTTCTAAGGGAAAGGTTTCAGAAGCAAGTAAAACTAAACAAGTATTATTAGGCTGCTGAACTGGGACTATAGGTAAATTTATGGGTTTACCCAAAAAATTCAAGTGTCTACATGAATTCTGAGCCACACTAGTGTCAAAATAGATCAAGTGGACTGGTTTTCATTATGTTCAAGAACCACTTATGGATTCAAAAAGCTTGGAACAGAATGAGTATGATAAATAAGATTAAACAAGAAAGATGTTATTTAATACCTGAATGGAAGAGTTTTACCACATCCAGCTGTAGCAAGAAACCAAAGGAAAATTCCACTAAGTACATTTTTAGCCTTTCTCTCGCGCTTTAATCTTAACAGCTCTATATGCCTGGGGTGCTATAGTAATTTCAAAGCTAATATAATTGAGTGAATGTGGCTCTGGATACATTTTCAGCATCAATGAGAAAATTCATGTATTACCTAAGCTGTCACAACTATATGTATTGTAGTAGCAAAAGATTTGCTATATAAATATTGAGAATTCACACAGAGCTTACAGCTCTTCTTAATAATTAGTTTTAGGGTGTTTTGTGGGTTTTTTGCTTTGTGTTATGTTGTATAGTGTGGGTATTTTAAATACCCCAATGATTCAAGGGGAAAGGTTTGTGGGGTGAGGTGTAACACCTTACCTGAATGTATCTTCAGGAACAACTGCCTTTGGGTTGTGAACATAGCAGACAATCTGTCGAGCTACATCCATTTGACTGAAACTCGTAATGGCGATGCCTGGGTAGTTGACATACTCTATTTGTCCATACTGGGGTGGGGAGGTTATCATGTAAAGGAGCTCCTCTGGCTTGTCAGTACCATCCAGTGCAAGGAGGACATTGGTTGTAATGTAGCTGCGATCTCCTTTTGGCACTCTTAGGAGTTTCATAAAAACAGCGATGTCTCCTGCAGGATAAAGAAACCACACTAAAATAGTCATATTTATCTTGTCGATCCCTTATGCATTAATTAGCAACAGACAAGCCATCACCAGTAGAAAAGTCATAGGACTGTAGGATTATAGAGAAATTCAGCCTGGAATGGACTTTAAGATGGTTTTAGTCCAACCTTCTGCTCAAAACAGGGTTAGATGTGAGATCAGCCATAACCACATTGCTTGGGGCTTTAACCCATTGGGGCTTGAAAACTGCCAAGGATGAAGAGAACACAATCTCTTTTGACTTTTCTTCCAGTCTTAACAGTGTCAGGTTAAAGTAGTCTAATTTAGGTTTACAATAGGGATGCAATTGAGGAAGATCTTAAGACTAGAGTATAAACCAAGGAGACAGAGCTGTTTCTGAATAATCTTTTGCCTGTCTTTTTGCATTCTTGCCATTTTTCTGTGCTGATTTACTCAGACGTAAAGCTAGTTTCGGAAGGATATTTTCAGCTCTATTTGAAAAGTAGCTGGGAGTCGTGAGAGGCAAGGTGCGACACATTGCCTTTGGCATAGCCTTTTCAAATTCCAGGGCCACTTCTTCACCAGCAGGAGCATCAAGGCTCTGGCCAACAGTGAAATCCAAGCAGTCAGACTTACAGGATCAGCAGGGACTCTTGCCAGGGGCAATATAGTGCTCAAGGAAGGATCAGGACATGTACTCAAACCATCTCTCTTTCAGAAATAGGCACTGTAAAACCTCAAGTCTGGCAAATCTTTACCCTTTTCCATATCCTTGATATTTATGTGGAAGTCTGCAGCTGGGGATCTGTTATACCCATCCCACAGGTAAAATGTGAAGCTGTCTTGGTTCTTGGACCCTGTAGCTCCTGTATGGACATATCTCACAAGGTTCATATCCAGCTCTTCCTGGCTGCACTTCATTCCAGTTCGGAGAGTCATCCAGCCTTGGCCTACCTAGAAAGAATAAACATCCTTCATTAAACAGATAGTGTCCCATGCACGCTCCCCAGTTAATTGTGAGGTTTGTAGTCACGTAGACTGTTAGTGGCAGCTACCAGCCTTCTTTGCTAAGCTATAGACTCTTTCCTCATAGTATGTTTTGAAGGGCAGCAAATAGCTGGAGTTGTTCCCAGGAAGATATAAGGCTGGATAAGATACTGTGATCATTAATTAAATGGAGTAATATCAGGTTAGCCACTTTTACTCCAGGAAATAGATTTATGCATGATTCTCAATAAGACACCAAGAAGATAAAAATGAAATGGTTCCTGACCCAGCATGTTTTCTGTTTTTTATTTTCACAAATCTGCTCTAGGTTTTCTTCAAAACCATACCAAAAGGGATATCAGAAATGAACCTGTGGGGAGCTCCAGGTCCTCAGCTGCAAAAAAAAATTGCCAAAAACCATTTTCTGCTTTTCTAAGGATAGCATAGTACCATAAATTGGGCTGATCCATCTATTTGACATTTGGCCTATAGCAACAGGTTTGTTCACTGGCTTTGGAGCAAAGGTTAACAAGGACAGAGAGCTCAAATATAGATGTGTACCCTACATGCTCAAACTGAAAGTCTCAGCAGCTGTCTCTCACCTCTGCATGTGGGACCGTTTTAATTTACAAACCTCATGTGACCCACAGATTCATGTAGGGATCCAGCAAAATACTTTCTGAGCTCATGAGTTTTAGAAACAATTTTTTTATTATATATGCATGCAATGTAAAAGAGGCATTTTCTTCTTTGTTTCTGTGCCTTATCTTTGGTCAACAGATGACCATTTCTCCTTCCATTTTTAATCTTATTTTGTGCCTTTCCTATATCCTTTCCATCTTTCTTTTCCCTTCCTTTCCCCATACTTTTCTTCTAACTCATGAGTTATTACTCACTCATTCACATACCGCTCCCTCTGTGCATTCTGAGCCCTGAAACAACTGAAGTAGACTTTTTTTCCCCCTTACCAAGAACTTTCTTCCCCACCCCCTTCCAGCTTAGATGCTTGATTTTCCCTCTCTGTGGGCTGATTATCCCAGCATCTCTCTCCGTTGTCACCTGAGATAATCTACCATGCTTTTCACCCTCCCTCTCCACCTGTTGAGGATCTGGGCTTTTAGTGTCAAAGCCTCTGTGGCTACATCAGTGTTTGATTCAAATACTCTTTCAACAATGATATTGGCCACTGCCGTCTACTTCAAAATATGACAGACATTTGGGAGAAAAGGAAGATGAACTTCATTCTACCCTAAAAAGAGAGAGTTCTTTGCATGCCTGCTTACTGTGGAAGTACAAAGGCTAACCTTGAGCTGAAGCTGACCATTTTCTGGAAGTCTTTCAAATAAGTAGTAAATTCTCTCCCTGGGGGTATCTTTATCTTCCGCTGACAGAACAGCACTAGAAATGATTCGAGTTTCACCTGTGTTCACCTCTATATCATTCTTCCTGCAAAAATTAAAAGTTATGTATTTATGCAATAAAAGAAAAGTAACCTTTTCAACATGTAATTTCTCTGCCAGGAATGCAGATTACCCAGACACTGACATAAATGACAACTGCAGAAAGAATAGAAGGAGGGTGGCTATTTCAGTTCAAAGCAGAAAAAAAAAGTAAACAGTGCAGACCAGCTTCTCCTTGAAATGGTGAAAAAGAACAAAGCGGATACCTACAACAACCCGGGATTTACTATGTCTTGTCTTTTTCCCCTGGGCCCTATTCTGCTTATCTTCATACAGTTTATAAGAAGAGGACAATCAAACAAATAGATTGCATTCTATGTTATTGCTACTATAGACCACACCTATACTGGCTCTAATGAACTGATCATTCATTAGGAAAAATAATGTCTTTCAAATGACTAGTCTGTCACTGCTCACCTTTATCTTTAAGAGACATAACAAAGACCTAACTGGCTCCTTCTCTATGCTCCTTCCATCACCCACATCTCATCTTGAGAAGGAGCTCTCAAGGGGAATATGTGAAGGCCTTACATTCCCCAATGGCATTCCCTGTTACAGGATGCAATCCAAGAGGTGACAGATTGAGTTTTTGGCAATCACTGTGAATAAGAGGCATTGTTTGCCAGCCAAACCCATCCCATCCTAGGTTCTTCGGTCTGTTGGCCGTAACTAATGGAGATGAGAACTGAAAATCTCTGAGGTGGAAAGTGCCCCTAGGTCAATAGGTGAGAAGAAGATTGCAGGTATTGTCAAATATTCACTTGTAAAACACTGTAGTGTCAATAAGGCAGTTTATACCTCACAGCAAATTTGTGGTGACTGAATGTGGCAGATAAAATACTTCAGTACCAAACTGAGCATGTTTTCTTAAAGTGCTACTGCTTAACTGCTGGCAGCATACCACATCTGAGTGGAGTAGTAACAGGCAAGAGGCAGTAACTTCTTATAAAGAATTAGCTATTTTGCAAGTAGGTGGCTTATTTTGTACCATTGTTCACCACAGGAATGGCAAATGGTAAGACCTGACATTGCCAGATAAGTAGCAATAGCTTCTGGATCTATCTGGGCAAAGCCAAAACCACTTGACTTCTTGCACTCCATCATCTTCCTTCAGAGAAGAAGGGTAAAAAATTACAATCTATAGCATGTGAGGAACAAATAGGCAATTATAAACACATTTTATGAATACAAAAACTACACTTTATTTTAACTAAAAATGGAGTTTCTCTTATATTAGCTTTATGTGGTTCCTGATAATCTTTCAGCTAAAAAGCTAACATTTGTTAATGCAGGAAGCTCTACGTGGGAAATGAAACATTAAAAATTTTTTGCAATGGAAAATGTAAGTCTGATCTGAAAGCAGGCCAGATATCCTGAGGGATCAGAAATTCCCACTTTAGTGGCAACCTTCTTAACAGGTTGCAAGTCATTTCTGAAATGTAAACTTTAGAGGTTCAGAGCCAACCCCAAAACATTTGGGTGCTCAGCTGCCCATCTGCCTGTCTAGGGTTGGAAAACAGTCACGAGGATGGAGACCTTGATGATCTGTGACAAGTCATCAGTAAAAAATGGGGATCCCAAGGGACAAGCATCTTTTAAAAACGTCCAGGAGGTTTGGTTCTCTCACAGCCAGCTGCCTATCTACAAATGGTCTGCCAGGCAATTTCTGATCATGTCTAATTCATTTATGACTCCTAGTTTTGAAGTGTAAGGGAAATTAGTGTGTATCTTTTCAGAAGTTAATTATGGCTGAGAAACAGAGTTTTAGAAAAGAAAAAAAAGAGAGTCATTAACCTGAAAGCCCTTCCCCTGCCTCAGCTTTGTGGATTCTCTTGCACTAAAATCCAAAACTACTTTCAGAGAGGTGTTTTAGGCAAGTAGGTGGCTTATTTTAGGCATGTGTTTGTCTCAGGAAGGGCAAAACACCATGGCAGTCAGTGTTCAGCAGAGGTACACAAGCATGAGGACCATCTGGCAAACAACTGGGGGTAACTTCTGAAAGATACAAGCATGCTCATCAACCCTCTTCTCCCCACATTTTTTACCCTATTAATTTAATGTTGAGCAACATTAAAGCATGCTCCTCTTTCACTAAGTTTTTTTATTAAAGATGCTGATAGAAGTCTACATGGAAACATCTGTATTGACATTAGTCTCTAACTAGTTATGGCTTCCTCTCCCCATCAGTCACCAAGGATGTGGTTTAATGGTGGACGTGGTGGGGTGCTAGGTTGATGGTGGGAACTGATGATCTTAAAGGTCTTTTCCAAACTTAACAATTATATGATTCTATGATTTGCTCTTCTGATCACTTTTGGATCATTTTGTCTGAATGCATCCCTCTGTCGGTGACAGGAACATGTGACTTACTTGCTCAGCACTGGTTTCTCATCATTAACTGGAATGATTGTTACTGAAATGGTTCTGAGGACTTTATGTTTTCCATCTGATAGCTGGATTTTAAAGCTGTCAGTGAGGTTTTCTGAGTTGTCATGCATGTACATCAGCTTCATTCCTATGTGGGGCAGGGAGGGGGAGAAAAAATGAGATAAAGAGAAGGAGAGAGAAAAATGGAAAGCACAACTAAATCTGACTCCTGCAAAATATCTCACATCATTTCACTCTTCCATCCCCTTCCCCATATGCCCTGGTCACAGCAAAATTGCTTCAGCTATCAGAAGATGAGCTTGGTGAGTCACTGCTGTTCATTAATCTAACAACATACTATTGACTCAAAGACACCAGCCTGATTGAGTAAGGAGTGGCTCTCTTGACAAAAAGGTCTCTGCCAGTTTGAAAGATGCACATTTCTCCTCCTCTCTACATTCCAAATCATTTTTGACAGGGACCATAGGAAGGGTGAGACTGTTAGGCAACAATTTTCTGTGCTTTAAATAATTCTCTTTAAAGAAGCCTTGTGAAGGACAGCTGGTCTTGGGTATATGACCATGGGCAATCAGAAGGTCTGTACTGGAGGTGACTTGTTCACCATTGTGGACAGCAAAAGGGAAAAGCCAAACATTTGGAAGAGAGTCAAAACCAGGGCTTAGGAAGGCTGAGGAATTTGGGGTGGGGACCTGATATTTCTGAAGGTTTGTATTAGACAGGAAGGCAGACAAAAAATTCTTTCCTTGGGTTTGAAGGTCTGAACTGAAACTTGAGTGGCAGTATTGAATTCTTGTCCCTCTTTATACTGATAGATTCCATATTTCACTAAATAGCCACAGGCTGGAAGAATCCACTGTATCCTTGACAGTGTTAGTTACACTTTTTGATTACATGTACTTGAAAGAGATTTGCTGCTTCAAAGCCGGTTGATTGATCATGTTAAGATGTAGAGCCCCAGTTCATATCTTCATTGTTAGACATATGAAGATATATTGCAGCTTTTCAATATCTAATGCAGACTTATAGGAAAGGTGGAGAGAGAATTTCTACCAATGCCTTTAGTGACAGGACAAGGGGCAAGAGTTTTAAGCTGAAAGAGGAGAAGCTTAGGTTGGCAAAAATGTTTTACAGTGAGGGTGGTGAGGCACTGAAACTTTGCCTAGAGTAGTTGTGGAGACCCCATCCCTGGAAGTGTTCAAGGTCAGGTTGGAAAGGGCTTTCAACAACTTGGTCAGTGGAAGATGTCCCTGCCCATGGCAGGGGAGGTGAACTAGGTGATCCTTAAAGGTCTCTTTCAACCCAAACTATTC